GTTTGTTTTTATTTGGACAGTGGCGATATTCGCCAGCATCTATCCATATGTCTGTCTGTCTGTCTGTCTGATTTAAGTGAAAATAAATTAACATATCCTGTACAGAAAACACACATATAAATACACAATTACTGTTGATTTGCTGAATTTATCATATATGGAAAGTGTTATTGAAATTTAATACTATTACTCGGTTTCCTTTCCGCAAAAATACTTTTTACTCATTACAGTTTCATTTAGGTCCTCAAAGTACTCTGATAAAGTAGCTGACATTTTCAAACTATGAGAAAAAAGTGACAAATTTTTGTCCTGATAGCAATAATATGTTATAAAGGCTGATTTACATTTTAAGCTGCCAGTGTAAAGACATTATGTGAACATTTCATCATGCGTGAACTACATTTGCTTACAGATAATCTTATTACATAAATACACATTAAAATTAAGAATGTTTTTCCCTCTCCTGTAAAGTTATGAAGATTTGTTAAGATGTGATATTAATGTACCATCTTGCACACATGGCAATGACGGGTAAATATGGGTAAACTGTGTTACTCGCTCGCATAAAATGTATGCACGTGTTAGAGAGTACTGAATGTGGAGGGTTTAGAGGTCAAAGGTTAGTTGGGGACCGGATCTTCTAGTGTGAAGGAGGGAGTGTAATACGAGTGACCATCTCTGTCTGGAAGTCTTCTTCTGCTTAGTACAAAATAGCTTGCATTAAAGAGAGGGAAAAAATCATAAAATGGCTGACTGCAATATGGCTAAGTCTTTCCAGAGGAAATGACTGGGGCCATGACTTCCCAGAAGATTAGCAGCACCAAGATCATCACAAGACGGTGGAAAGAGCATCACTTTGAACACATTCTCTAGCAGTTAGGATGAGCTTGTGGTCTTCCACTATGGTGCTTTTGGGAGATAAGGCCCAGAGCAGTGGCTCTGGAGCAAGTGCATGTGTTTCAGCTCTGCAGAATTGGGCCCTTGATGTTTAGAGAGAATGCGAATGATATTTGCAGTAGCACTATAGCGGTCCCCAGCCAGCGCAGAGCTAACAGAACTCATCTGATGGATTTTACACACAGATTTCTCCCAGACAGTTATGATGAATGCTGACAGTCAAAAGAGGGGCTCCTTAAGCATGCACAAGCTTTTACCATAAAAGTAAACCATAAAATATCATAAAAGCAGAAGCACACTTTAAAACATATGTAGTCGCTCAAGTGATTTTTTTTCATATTCATAATTTCATTTAAACTCTGAAAGATCAGTGGCACTTCCATTTCTTTATGGCACCTAAGTAAGTGATAAACACAGTTAAAAGTATTTTACTGTTCTAAGGCTGACAAAAAGTGTATTAAATACTCATGTAGTCTACTTTGTAAACATCTTATTCAAATAAATACAATTATTTACTGTGCCAAGTCCATCGTGTTCACCTTTGTTAAAGACTTGCTTTGAGTTTGGGAAATTTGTAGAGGTGTTTTTCCACACCTCCAAAGTTCAGTTTTCTGACCATCCGAGTAATCCCAAACACATTCAAAGATGAGTTGTCTGCTCACAGTGGAAGGATGGACAGAAACACCTGTTAATTTTTCAGATCTGAAGCAAGAGTGGAGCCTTCGTCCCTCCATCCCTTCGTGCCTCTGTCCCCCTAGTTTTGGTGGTCTACCAGGTCTTGAAAGTCCCATTTTCTATTGTATCTTGTAATTATTTTCTGATCTCCAATTTTGGAAACTCCTGCTTTTTCACTAATTTTCCTTTGACTTTCCCCTTCCCTATGCAAGTAGATTACTTTATATCTAAGCTCATCAGAAATATCTAACGAAAATGAATAACTGTGCTTTTTTGACTGGAAATTTAAGAAATGAAGGGTGAATTTTGCACAATACTGTAGGTACATTAACCTTCTAAAAGGCCAAAGTTTTATTACACACTTCTATACCCTAAGAATAGCTTGTTTGCGCTGGAGTCCCTTTATTAACTGAATGATAAGCCTTATTATGTAATAAGCCCGGGATATTAAAGGCTTAATTTTGAGAAAGAGTTCCTGTTATGTCTATAATTCAGTTACAAAACAATCACAATTATATTAATTATATTAATCTTTTTGTTGTCAGCATAAATATTTTTAGGAAGATCCTCATAGTTGCATCCAATATTATTTGAACATTTCTACTTTGTAATGTTTTGTGGTGAAATTTTGATTACTATAAATAAGAGAAATTATAGGTTCTATTTAAATATTCATCTTACATACTTAAGACTTAAAACTTACCTTTTTCATTAAATATAATGAAACTAATAGGTAAGTTTTAGTTATGTAGATATAAAAGTGACAATCTTCAGCTCCTGATATGGGACCTCTTTTGCTTTCTCCCTGATGATGATAATGAATTTGGATAATTGGAGTTATCCGTGGATGAGGAAGAACAAAAAGGTTGTACAAAAAGAAACAGTTTACCTCAGGTTTACCTCAGTTACCTCAGTTTACCTCAGGTTTACCTCAGTTACCTCAGTTTACCTGAGGTTTACCTCAGGTTAGTTTGGCTAACTTGTTGGTTGTATTTACTAGTAACTGCTAGTAAATACAACCAATAAGTCAGCCAAACTACAATGAGTTAAACCAAGTATTTTCTATGTGCCATTTTAATAAACAAAACAAAAGACTTCTGTGATACATATTTCACCTCAGTTGGTTGAGTTTAGTCAGCTGGTGAATAAGAAAAGCTCACCTCAATCCATGTCATTCACAATGTGCATCATTTATTTACCAATTTAGTTTTGTATAGACACCTTAAATGAGTCTGACAGATCACCAATGTTACAAATGAAAGTCCACCTACTAGGCTTTACAGTGTAGAAGTAGCTGGTCTGGTGACCTGAATGAATGACCTCATGGCTGATGCACACAAGCTGAGAAAGGACAAAGTTGAAAAGGCAGGGGTCAGGCAGTTTAGTCATTCCTTTCCATTGAGAAGCAGCATGTGAGCCTAGAGTCACATCTCAAAGGAGATTTACACCACACATTCATTCAGGCTATGGTCCCTCTCTCTCTCTCTCTCTCTCTCTCTCTCTCTATACATATATATATATATATATATATATATATATATATATATATATATATATAGATAGATAGATAGATAGATAGATAGATAGACAGATAGTTGGGTTATGTTCTGTTCTGTCAGGTTATGTTCTGTTTTGCAGACACTTTAAGAATGGTTATAAATCTCTTATAAAGCCAGTTATAAGAGTGATATAAGACTATATATAGTTTGTGTTTGTAATTACTTTGTAATCATTAAATAATTTACCTTAAAAAGCAAGAGATTCTCTAATGAAGTTTGTTTAGTTTTATGCATAAATCATTCCATTTTCCAACCTCTTTTTCTTGTAATCCCCTATTAAAGGCTGTTTTTGTTACTGTGCCTTTAAAATTAAAATATGTAAATGAGCTCTGTGCGGACTGGCTGCCTCGTGTTCTGCCCAGAGCCTCATCCCAAAAGCAGTCTGCTCTAAGCTTAGTATGAAAGGGCGGAGCTAAACTGCTGAAGGCTTAATAGGTGGATGTATATAAATGTCTTGATTTTGTGACTTGATAAAGAAAATGAATTCAAAATGGGCTGTTTTGGCAGCTTAGGCTCCATGTATGGACTGTATGGGCTGTGTGGGCTGTGTGGGCTGTATGGGCTGTGTGGACTGTAGGCTGTAGAGTGAATGGTGCATTTGGAAAATGTAATAATGTTTGCATGCTACATCAAAGTGTTTAATTAAAAAGGACATATAATTAAATAATTTTATGGCGTCAGTAATTATAGGTTTAAACTAGACTGTGTTTGAATTGAATAACGTTCATTTCACAATTTGGTGAGAAAGTGAGTGCTGGAGCGAGTGGGGCGGGGAAGGGGGGTCAGTTTGCCTCGTGCCAGTGCTGCCACAGTAAAACTCGTGGCTGGATTCAGCTCCAGCACTGTGGACTCACAACAGCTTAATAATGCTGCTACAAGTGAAAGCAATAGGTGCACATGCATCGTTTATGTTTACCAGACTGACTGGGTTTTGAAACACTGCTGCAAACCCAGACGTCCTGCCGATTCGCCATCATTTGAAGGTCCTACTAAGAGAATCTGATCTGTTCTGGTCGATATACTTAGCTGTGTTGTTGTGCACTCTGGAGAAATGTGAGGAGAAATCTATTCAAACAGATTCCACACTTTAAACTTCAGAGCTGATGTGGTTGAGACATTTGTTAACGCCCCCGCTGCTGGAGGTGTGTGTTTCAACACTCTTTAACTCCCCCTCAAATGGTCAGCACACTAAAAATCCACAGCGACAAACGTTAGGTCAGTGCCTTTTACAAACGGACACCAAACGGATAACATGGTCTGTCTGAAAGTGCACGCGGTGCTCTTTCCTTTAACATACACAGTGCACTTGCTCTGTTTTAAAAGCATCAATATTTGTATTAATCACTTATCTTTCTCTCTCTCTCTCTCTCTCTCTCTCTCTCTCTCTCTCTATATATATATATATATATATATATATAATATATATATCGACCCATTGATTATTGATTGATTAACACTACATTAATAACATTTAATATTATCAGCATTATTATTAGTAATAGTACAATTATCATCATTTAATATGTAATGTTAATATTAACTGTTTATTTAACTACCTAACACATCATCATCATCGTTATTATTATTATTATTATTATTATTATTATTATTGTTCTTCTTATTATTCTTAACAACAACAACAAAACAACAATAACAACAACAATAATAATATGCTACTATGTTTATATACATCATTATGTTTTTACTGTATTTGTTAGTTTAATTGATTAATTGCTTTAATTTATTCACCCACTTTATTTAGAGTATTTTTGCTTGCCGGACTTGTTGTATGTCCTCTGTGGCTCCGCCCCTCAGCCTATAAGAGCCCGAGCTGCTGCAGCTGCTCACGCCTGTGATGTCCACGAGGGATTCTGACCATGTTAATGAGAGGCTGAAGTCCAGCGTGGCCTGCGGGGTCTGCAGCATGTGTCATTAGTGTAAACAGCGCGCGAGCAGCAGCAGCAGAGCAGCGGAGCAGCAAGTTCCCTTCTGGATGCTCGGATATTTCCCGCACTGGAGAAACTCGCCGTTCCACTTTCGCTCGGAGGATTTGGGTGTTGACGATGGCGTTCGCCATGCTGCGGCCCGTGGCCTCGCACCTGGCCTACCCGGAGCACTGCGCGCTCTCCGACGACGATGACAACCGCAGCGAGAGCGACGGCAGCTCGGACCAGAGCTATGGCTGCTGCGCGAGCGAGGAGAAGCGGCGGCGCGCGGCGCGCAGGCCCGGCTCGACCACCGCGCTCGTCGTGAAGCAGCGGAACGCTGCGAACGCACGCGAGCGGGACAGGACACAGAGCGTGAACACGGCGTTCACGGCGCTGCGCACGCTCATCCCCACAGAGCCCGTGGACCGCAAACTGTCCAAGATCGAGACGCTGCGCCTCGCGTCCAGCTACATCTCCCACCTGGCCAACGTGCTGCTGACCGGCGACGGTGGCGAGGACGCGCAGCCGTGCCTGAGCGCGGGGTGTCGCGCGCAAGGGGACGGAGGCAGCAAGCAGCCGCGCACCATCTGCACCTTCTGCCTGAGCAACCAGAGGAAAGGGGTGAGCACGCGCAATGAGCACGAGGGAGGCATGAAGTTTAGCGCTGGCCTGCACAATGCAGCGCTTAGCAGTCAGTGTGAACGCCCAACGCGCGCTCAGCGCCACACGATAATGTAACGATGACTTTCTTAATGCTGGGTCACAGTGAACTGATTTTACCCTTCACAACGTTTTCTAATCCAAACGTTTAGGCCACAACTCTGTTTTTGTTTAAAGGCTGCACAGAGATGTATTTAATAACAGCAATAATAACAACAACAACAAAACAACAACAACAACAATAATAACAATAACAATAATAATAATAATAATAAATACTATTATTGTTATTATTATTATTAAAGGATGTGATTTTATACATTTCAAATAGTCTAAACTATAGTTAACTCTAGATTGTATGTTCTGTATTGAAACAAAAAGAAAATTCGTATTTTCAAATTATTAATCATTATTATTAATATTATTATTATTAATATTATTATTATTGACAATAATATTAGTACGTGTATTCATGTTATTTTATTGGGTCTAATTATAATGGTGACAAACAGCAATAAACAACAACAATAGTAATAATAATAATAATAATAATAATAATGATATTTGTACTGTTGGTAATGTTGCTGTTGCTCTCTTTTCTAATCCTCTGTGTGTGTGTGTGTGTGTGCAGGTGAAGGATGGTAAAGACTGTCTACGGATGCGCGGAATAACTTCAGTGCGCGTGAGCCGCCGGTAGCCGCCCACAAGCCGCCGGCCGCGAGCCGCGAGATGCCGAACTCAGGGAGCGCGGAGACTGCAGAGCGCGCGCAGGAGCGCCCAGCCGAGACTGACTTACAGACTGACACTTACAGGAGCCGTAAGTGATGCAGACACAGCTCTTTACGGGGATTCTTTCTTATTGTCGTTTTGTTTTTGTGTATTTGTTCGTTTGTTTCTTTGTTTTTTTTAAACATGCAGTGCATAAACCTTTGTTTTCTCTAAAGAGAATTTATGGATTTTTGTAAAAAAAAAATGTGTGTGAACAGGAGGTTTGTATCCCACTATGAAGAAATAAAGTATATTTTTTATCAGATTTATAACTCCCCCTGCCTTTTATGTTCAGTGTGCATTATTTTATGTCCCGCGTGGCTGAAAGCAGCTGCTAGACCAGTGACAGTGGGAAATAATGATGGCTGAGCTTTAGGCCTCATGGCTGACCAGCACACTTCCTGCAGGCTTTTACAAAGTTCTTCATTAATATTTCACCTGTCAGAAGGGCCAGGCAGGTCATGTGATTGCAGAGTTCAGAGGGTCTCACTTTGGTGTACAGCATTTTCTGTGGTATGGAGGGGTTACAGTCCTGTTTCAGCTCTGCTACATTGGCAGCTCCATGCAGTTGGCCTGTAATTTTATACAGTAGGCTTAACTGTGCAACGTATAAATCCAAATATGAGTGAATTTCTGTTTTGTAGCTTACTCTACTGCTTTTGATGGGACAGTATTTTTGTTTGAGCATTAGTTTGCTGTAGATGGTGTGGTCTATGGAAATACTGTATGTTTATTAGCCCCTTGAGGAGAGCTTTTTGCCTTTAGTAGTTCAAGTGGGTCAAGAATTCTCACAGTGGCTCTGAGACATAAACCAGAACTATTTCTAGACAAGATTAAAAGTGCATTGTCAGTAATGTGACAGTCCAGTGCCAATACCAATGGTGATAGATAACATAGTAATAATGAATGATAGTCTGCAAGATTTACCAGGGCTACGTCCCCAGTCTGCACAGGTGTGTCATAAGATTAGATCATTTTTTGCTCTTAAGAAACTGAAAGGATTTCCACTGATGGCTGCCTCCGTTACTCGGAAGAGACCGCTTAGTGTAGTCATCGGCTCTGGAAGACGCCAGGCTGCTTTTATCTCTTCAATGGCAGCGGGTACAAAGGTGAAAAACAGGAAAGAAACAGTTAGACTCCCTTTGTATTGGGGCACGAATACTGGCAGTTCTAAAACTGTCTGACCAGTCCACCAAAATGGCCATGCAGATGGCCATGCAGTGTGCTGTTGAGGGCCAAGTAGTGAATACAGCATGCAAACATAGCCTACATCTAATCCTTTAAAATACAGGATTACTATTTACCTTATTAACCCTGTGAGTTATCAATCTACTCAGTGATTAATTATTCAGGAATTACTTTAAAAGTAATGTGTAATGTAGTTATGAGAGTGGGGAACAGAAGTGTGCACCTACATATGGGCCCTTAGACTTTAAGCGCTTTAAAGGGGGTAAAATTCCACCGATTTTTCAAAATGTCTACATAATTCAACAGTACAGACATAAACAATGCCATGCAGAGTGGTTTGATGTGAAATGATCGATTGTAGAAAAGCCTACCAACCTGATTGCTTTACAGTGGTAGTGATAGGAACCAGGGGTCACAATGTCACCAGCATAAATATGACCCTTTTTTTTTAATAACCAAACATGACAAGTAAACCTACAAGTGTTTGGTATGTAATGTTAAAGTGCTAAAATATTGTTAAATCTGATTTTTTGGGCCCTACAATGCCCTGCATGTACTCCTTTGGCATAAATGGATTTTTAAAGTGTGTTTTAGGCCAAAACCATCTCAAAACTATCATAAAACAATGTATCAGGCATCAGGCAGCACATTCATCATGTTTTCATGTAATAACTTTCTGTGATGGAAATTTCAGAGGCATTAAGCGCTTCAGATGTCTGGTTCCTATCACCACTGCTATGAATAATTCTGACAATTCTGGCAAGCTTCTCTAGAACAGAGTGTTTCATATCAAAGCATCATGAATGACTTTGTTTACAACGTATTGATTTATTTATGCAGAAATCTTGGAAAATCAGAAGAATTCCCATTTAATAAAGACAAAGCTCCACTTCAGTGAGCCCAGTGCTGCAGTTCTAGAAAAATGTTCCTAGTCATATAAATATACATTCCAGGAATGAATGAATAAACTATAAACAGTTGATAAATGGCATAGTGCTTTTCAAGTTCCAATTCCATATGAAGAGAAATAAACAGTGTCTAAAATTACAGAATCAGTCTTTATGTTTGCACGATTTGGATATTTAGATCAAATTAAGTTTAAAGCTAAGCTCTAAACTTTGTTAAGTGCATATACTGGTATTATTTGTGTAATGACTCATACCATTCATAGAGTATACAGCTGAATATTGTCGCTTTAAGGAGAAAACCTTGTATCTCCTATCGTTTATATAGCTGCAAAGAACAACTCACATTAAATGACTAGTTTGATTTTCAGTCCACCATATATTTATATATATGTATGCATATAATAGAATAGTGGGATTTGACTCAATGAGTTTTCTATTATTTTATTAAGTACAAGGAAGAATATTGAAAGTCTTTTCTGTGATATTTGACTGTATCCTACAGATGAAGCAGATAGAGCTTAAGCTGAAAAATGTTGGCTTATTCCTTGAGGACTTGGCTGGACTGGAGCATATGTTCAACAGTAGTCAGTGTGAAAGGCTTATGCTGTATAAGAAGCCAAAGTTTCACCCTCTCTATCCATCTTTCCCTCTTTCTGTCCCTCTCTTATCCTTTCTGCTTTTCATCATTGTTCATTTTTGAGTTTTGCAAAGTGCTTATTTCTTATTTTGCAAGCGTGTGTGAGGCAATGTTGGTGTAGGGTCATGAGCTCGAGTGTCAATGACTAGTGTATTTCTGCAAATCTCACGCTTTGACTCTCATTCCTTTCTCCATATCTCTCTCTCTTTCTCTCTCTCGCTCTGTTTTTTGAAGTCTGGGATGGATTAGTCACGGTAAATAGTACCCCTTGGTCAGTGTGGGGACCTTGACACAGCTGTGTGTCTGTGAGCTTTATAAATCACCAGCGGGGTCGGCAGGAGCGAGGGAGGGAGGGAGGGAGGGAGAGAGGGAAAAATGGAGGGATGAAATTAAGGGAAAGGGGCGATATTACTGCTCTCAGAGAGAGTTAGAGAGAGTTCTTGGTGTAGCTAAAGGGGACGAGGTCTGTAAAAGCAGACTGAGAGTGGAAGGTTTTGGATGAATGACAAGGTCACTGAACCTCTGAGTTTGATGCCTGTTTATTAATAGTGCAATCAAAAATAGACTCTAATTTCAAGACTTCAGGGACATACAGTCATATGCAAAAGTTTGGGTGTCTCTTGTCAAGTGACATGTTCTGTTGATTTTCTAAGTGAAAATAACACATCCTCTACAGAGAACAGAACACACCTCTGCACATTTTAATGCACAATTACTTAAATTAATATTTTTTACTTTTTATTATATTTTTTCAATTTATGAAACTCAGCAGCTAAATGGAAATGTGCAGTAAAATTTGCAGATAATGGCCTTTTTAAAATTGTTCTCTGTAAAAAAATGTGTTAACTTATTTTCACTTAGAAAATCAATAAAACATTCAATTCAAAACATTCAAAAATGTTCAGTTGGGGTTGTTCAAACTTCTCCAGACTACTACATGAAATGGCAAACAAAATGTCCTCGCTGTCCAGAAAAAGAAAAATGGCAACTTTACAGAAGAAAGCAGGGCCATCTTTATTTACAATTTAAGACAGTGTAAAGAGATTTTATTCCAAGCAATTTTGGAGCATTTCTATTGGTCCAATCATCATGAAGTTTTCACGCAACATGAAGTGCAGCTGGTGTGCTCAAGTGATGAAGAAAAATAAAAAGCAGAAAAAATAGAGATAGATAAGTCACAAAAGTCACAGAATGTTTAATTTTAATATTTACTTTGAATATATTTTTGTATTTTATCTCACTCATATTTAATTTCTGTTTTATTTCATTTTTTAATTATAACACGTGATATCACTAGAAGCAACTAGCTACAGCTTTCATAGTAAACATAGGCAGGCCACACACTGAAAAATTAAAACATATTAAATTCAAATGTGTACCTCAGTTCCACATTTCTAAAATCTATTACATGACACAATGGTATATTTCAGTTTACATATTTTGGCTATAGCTGTGTTGGAGAACCTTGATTATTAGAGCTAGGCCTTCAATTCTGGGCTGTAAATATCAAATGTTGGTCAAAAACAAGGAAAAAAAAACACATTTGTGATAATGCTAATTTGTGCCTGCACCCCTATGGGATAACAGTAGTATGTTATCACAAAGCTAACAGCGATTCACATAAGCTTTTTTTGGCCGTATTAGATTAAACTTAGACATTTAAAGCTTGTAAGATACATTCTATGTTTTATATGAACCCTGTAACAGATATTAGCATATATTTTACCTTAAATGTAGCAAAAAAAGTCCTGACACAGAGTTGCAGTTGTTTTCTATTCCTAAAAACAGTCTGGAAACCTGGTTGGATTTCCACTTGTATTCACAGTGAGTGATGTCTCTAGAAGGCCTCACGTGATGTTTTATTTTGCACAAAATTGATCCAATCTGATCCACTGTAAATCAAAGCATGATTGATTGATTCCACTGTCACTTCCTAATTACATTAGTAGTTCATCTGACATTTTAGGCCTTCAGTTTAGCTCCTGAAGTCCTAACCAATCAGAGAGCTTGGCTGTGTTTTCCTAGAAAGCCCAGCGTTCCCCACTACCTGTAATATAGTTTATTAATGTGGAAATTGACCAAGTAAATTTAATGCTTTTTCAGTGCACACACACTTTTTTAGTGTGCACAAACAAACAACATGTTTGATACGGTGGTTTTTCAGCAGAGCAGACTGCAGGGAAGTGCTTGGCATTTTCTCTAGAGTAACCATTATCCACAGTGACCCTTTAACTGTAGTGACGCAGAGAAAGCACTTTTCAGCATCCTGTGACTCATAACACACTCACCGAATTCACCACAGCTTCCCGACAATAACCCTGGCACTGAATATGTTGATTTAAAGGTATATTCCAGTATTTCACTTCTCACCTCACTGGCTCAGCACTGGTCACACGGCACTACACATAACATGCCTGTCATATTGTAGGAACCCCTATAAAAGACAATAATGGAATACTGTCCACTATAAACAATAACAATATACTTAATAGTCCTCCTTTGCAACTCTAGCCCTTTAAAGTGATTCAAAAT